GGATTAATATGGATGAGTGATGATTTGTTTTGAAAAAATAAAATATGTAATGAATTATCTCAACCTCACATTAGTATTAGTGAAAAAATATTCAATTGAACATCCAAAAACAACAGGAAGAATGATGATAATGAATACACCAGGGTTTCTATTCGTAATACTAATACTAATCACTATATATTAATAAAATTTTACCAATCACTTTAATTGATTGTAGACACACAATCGATTAACACCTTAATGCTAACTTTCATCCCTATTAACCCACTCCTTCTATTGTTTTCTCCATACGATTGATTAGGCTGATAAAATTCTTATTAGTAGATGAAGCAACTATATCCTTCTCTCCCTATCCTTCTCTCACTATCATTTATTCCTAAATACTTTTTTATTGCTAATTAATTTATGCTTATTTATTTCGATAGAAAAAAACCAAGCAAGAACAAGAGTAATCAATCATTCTTGTTAACAATTTGACTTTGTGTATCAAACACATGGTAGATTGATTATTATTAACGTTTACTGTACAGTTAATTGTCAAGATTCATGATTGATTTGTCTATCGAAACCAGGTGTTTGTTTACATTGTTTCTAATGCAAACCAAATAAACCTATTATACAGAACTTCTAAAAAATTTTTGAAAAAAGTATTTATTTTCAAACAGCAAAATATATAGCCGTGTCACAGTTTCTAAATTCATAATTTTTTAAATTGTAATCTGCCCCAAAAATTTTTAGCCGCTGAGAAAGATGTCAATACTATATTTACACTTGGTGGACAAAAGTTTGCATCCAAAATTTCTTTTGAATTTATTTCAATTAAAATCTCTTGTTCTTGAAAATATGTTTGTATATCTACAATTTTATAGATATTTAATTAATAACAAGTGCAGCAAGATATGGTCCATTGAGGCCAATGAAATTTTGGTCTGGTCTGTTACATCAATGAGTCAAGTTTTTATATAGCCCAATTTTTATTCAAATCAAGATCTTCGATTTTGAAGGCCGAAATTGAAATATAGCTGGCAAAATCACTAAAAAGTAAATTAAAAATTGGCACAGCTGATCATCTTGGTTGTATCTGTCAAACTATTAAAAAAGGTATATTGATTGGACAGTCTGATTGCCAACCCTGCTCCTGAGATTGCATGTAGACATTATTGTGTTTCCTGTTCCTTGCTACACAATCAAAAATTTCCAAAAAACATCAACAGATAGCTTTTAAGACTATCAACAACAACAAGCATTAATATAATTCAAAAAGCAGCTTCAAAAAATATCGAGGAACATCAACATCAATACCAACAACACCAACAAAATATCAATCCAATTCAAAAAGTAGCTTCAACTAATATTGAACACCATCATCAATAACAAATATTCATTCAGCTTCAAGGTCGCTTTTCCATCAACAACAACAAAGTATTCATCCAGTTAATAATAATGAATAAAATTTAAATTCTGTCATATAAAATAAAATGTTGCAAGCTTTAAGTAATTTTTTATATGATGTAAAATATTTACATCTTATATATATATATGTTTATATAATTAATGTTAACCTAAATATAGAGAAATCAAAAATAATGATAATAATAATAATAATAACAATAATAGTAATTGACCTACCTTGAAGATAATTTTTCTTTTAAATCTTTAGACGGAATCCATAATCATTTCCACTTTGATTTTCAAATATTGATCCCAACATTGCTTGTTCCTCTTCATCCATTTCTCCAATCCCATGAGCAACATTTGGTGCAGATGGACTTATATAAGATCTTCGACTAAAAAAATCAAATAAACATTAAATCAATTAATCTTAAATAAAACTTTATCATCATCATCATCATTATTACCGTTCGCCACCACCTTTAGATGGCCAAGTGGGAAACAATTCTGGATCTTTGGGCAATGGACTTTCCCTAATACAAAAAAAATTGATTGATTGATAAATGATCAACTAAATAGGCGAATCGTGACTTATAGGATTAAAAAATGAATGACATACATGAAATATGAATGTTTTAAAGCCTCATCTGCTGTAATTCTTTTGACTGGGTCATAGGTTAATAATTTTGATAATAAATCTATACCATTTTCTGTTAAATATGGAAATCTAGTACGTAATGAATCATTTCTAAAGAATAATGAAAATAATGAAATTTAGATTAGTATCTCAAATAAAGTGAGGAGTCCACACCCATTCTTTATGATTATTAAACTTACGATTGTTTTACATATGTGATATTTTTTGCATGTGGCAACTTTGAAAATCCTGGCCATATCTTTTCATTAGGCATTCCTAATAATTTAATAATCTGAATAACAAAAATATGAAAGTTGCATAAATATGAATTAAATAAAAAATGATATTACTAATTATCTATTATCGATGTTGTTATCATTATGATTACCTTATCTAATTGATCTATCTCACTTCTTCCTGGCAACAATGGCTCTTTATTAACCAATTCACCAAAAATACATCCAACTGACCACATATCCACAGCAGTAGAGTATTTTTTTGTTCCTAGTAATAATTCTGGTGCTCTATTTTTTTGTAAAAAAAAAACCAAAATAATCAATAAAATAATTAATGGTAAGTTATAATATTCCTGCCAAAGAAATAAATGCATTTACCGATACCAGAGTGTCACAACAAGTTGAGTCATAGGACCTAGCGGGCTTCCATATTTTCTTGCCAAACCAAAGTCAGCCACTTTAATTTGACCACGATTATTTAATAATAAATTTGAAGTCTTCAAATCACGATGGATAATCCAATTATCATGTAACATTGCCACAGCAGATAATAATTGAAGCATTATTGTTTTAACCTCTGATTGTAAAAAAGGACTTTGCATATCTTCCATTAAACTTTTAAGATCATGTTCTACAAAGTCCATCACTATAAAAATTCTAGTACAACAATTAATAAATATAAAACAACCAAAAAATGATAAAAAAAGTGATGTTATTTTATTAATCTTTAGCTTACTGTGTTAATGTATCACCAACAACAATTTCCCTGACATTCACAATATTTGGATGTTTAGCTAAAAGTAATGTATGTATTTCTCTCAAAGATGTAATAGGAAATCCATTCTTCTCCTTATCTAATTTTAATTTTTTTAATGCAACTATTTCACCAGTGGCCTTATCTTTAGCACGGAAAACAACACCATAAGCACCTTCTTCAATTCTATTTAGCTTTTCATAATTATCAACACTCCTACATCCAGCAAGTGCAGGTGGTGGAGTGATGATTTTTTCCACAACATTTTGAGGTAAAGGGACAGGCTTTGGCGAGGATGTAGTGGCATCAGTATGTGAGCTATAGTCGTCTCCTTCTGAATCAATTGTCGTCCTAATTGTTCTTTTGACACGTTTCTTTTTAGTTACTATTCTACGTTGTTGTTCACTTTCTGACTCTTCACTTTCTGATTCCCATTTTGATTTTTTAGCCGTACCTTTTGAAGATGATGGTGGAGTGCTTGTCGCAATCTTTATTTCTGATGTGTGTAATTTTTCTGAAGAATCAACCTCCATAATTACTTGAGGAGAACTGTTGTCGTTATTATCTTCCATGATGAATAATTTTTTTATAATATATCACGTGAACAAAACTGCATATTAATTAATAACGTCTAACTATATTAATATAAGGCATGGACAATAGACAATAGAAAGGGGTGGTAATATTAATATATATTAGTGAAAAATTTTGTGCACCAATTTTTTTCTACGAACAATCTTGATTTAACTGACCAACTGATTATAATAATTCACTGATTATTTTTTTAATATAAATATATAAAAGTATTGGTTTTGTTTTTTGAATGAAGGAAAAATTGTTTTTTCGGATCCTTGACCCTAACCAACCTTTTTGATGTATATAATAATTTGACCCACACAGATTGACCCTAACACTAAATTAATTTGACCCTATTATAATTACTGACAAAAAATTATATACAGTCGACCCCCTTATAGTCACACCCCTCGGGAATGACTAATGCTGTGACTAGAAATGAATGTGCTTATAGAGGGTATAAATATATGGTCACACGTCTTATGAAATACCATCACAGTGTGCTTATATACTATTTTTCAAATAATTTATTTAATAAAAATTTTTAACAATATATAGACAAGTATTCAAATTTTTATATTATTAGCATTCTTTCTTTTCAAGATATGCATAAATGCTTTTTTGGATCTTTGGTTCCATAAGTTTAACAATACCTAAATATTTTCTAAAAATGTACAAATCATCAATTTTAAATTTTTGTTGTTTTCCTGTTGCTCAAAAAAATTAATAAATGTTTCTAAACCATTAATTGCATTTTTTACTGGTATCAAATGTATTTCTTCATCTAATGATGAATCATTACCATTTTCACCCATTTCTTCAAATTGGACAAGACTTATAATTTCTTCATCATTAAGATATTCTTCAGTTGGTATATTTTAATTGAAACTATCAAAATATTCATTTACATCATCAGCATCTGGTAATATAATAATAAGTCATTATCATCAAGCTCTGAATCTTGAATATTCATATCGACCATAATGATATCAATACTGTTTGGGAGAATTCCTGTTTTAATCCAACAATTTTGAATGGTTGTTTCAGTGACATCATTCCAAGCCTCAGCAATAAAATAAATAGCTTCTTTTACATTCAGCTTATCTCTAAATATAAGTAATTAGTATAGTTGATTTACATGATTTAAAAAAATCTGATAATTGATTATTAATTATATCATTACATACCTTTGGTTATATGTTCCATTATCAAAATGGCGAATTAAATATTTACAATATTCATGTTTGTATTTAGCTTTAAAACTATGGATGATACCAGCATCCATTGGCTGTAAGTGTGCAGTGGTGTTAGGAGGAATATAAATAAGTCTAATATTTGTAAGATTAATATTTGGTGTTTTTCTTCCCTTTTTTTTTTGTGTTTGATCAATATTGATTTTTCTTCTTTGAGATGACTGAGATGATTCTGCAATTGGTCCTTCATCATCAGAACATGAACTTGATTCTTCATTGATAATTATAATTTCTTCATTGTGATCATTGACAATGGTAGAGTTTTCATTAGATTGTTCAAGTTGCTTTGGATTAAAATGTGACCCAGCATTATCAATTAGAAGAACAACCTTACTGTCCATTGTATGAAAAAATCTATAATGATAATTGAGCCACTCAATGAAAATGTCAGATCTCATCAAGCTTTTGAATTTGCATGGTAAGTAACAGGTAGTGTAGATTTATTAATATTTGTAAAGCAACATGGGTTTTGAGATTTTCCAATCACTAAAGGAACAAATTTGTGACTACTTGCATTAGCACAAAGTAAAACTGAAAGACAACTTTTATCCTTAATTTTAAAAAAAAATATAAATATTTGCAAACCAAATTTTAGAAATAATGAATCAATAAATTTACTTTTTTATATCCTGAAATTGGGCCAGTACTTAATGTTTGGTTGGGTAGCATCCTAAAGAAAATTCACATCTCATCAGCATTATAGATATCTTCATTATATTGACTTAAAATAAATTGCAATTTTGAACATTCTTCAGGAAGAGTTTGGAGTGGAGCACTGTTAGACTCACCAGAATATTTAATTTTATGTAAACCATTTCTTTTTTTGAATTTATATATCCAACCATTTGCACACTTTATTTGGTTTTCAATATTTAATCCCCCCTTTCTTTGTAAAATTAAACCACTTAAAGGCATTCTGGCAGAAACCATTTGTGCAGTCCATATTTGCATTGCTTTATCAAATTCAGGAAATCTTGTTGAAAACTGACAAAATTTGTCCAATCCAATTGTATCAGAAACTAAATTCAGCCATTTATCTTTATCTTTAAATATTTTGGAAATACTTATTCTATCAATATCAATATTTAGTTATTTGTATTTATTATTAAAGAAAGAGGCAACATCAGCATGTTTAACACTTTGATGAACCATCATATATTCACAAATTTTTTTCTTTAATTTAACACTGATAGCAGTGCAAGTTCTTTTAGCAGTTATTTTTGACTTCTGCATTTTTATTTAGCTATTGAATTATTATCAATTCTTTTTATAAGTATTAAATTAAACTATAACATGAAACCACTAAACTGAATTCATAAAATAAGTGTTAAATATTGAATTGTAAACACCAATAAGAATAACTTGGAACCAATTCAGTTTACAATAATTAGAATTTTTAAATAAATAAAATAATAGATTTTTTTAATTCAATTGTTCATCACTAAATTAACTAACCATTAATAGTAAAGAATAAAGATTACGAATAAAACAAATTATTTGAATAAAAATGAAAAAGACAAAACAAATAGAGTGAATAGGATGAATAAAACGAATAAAACAAATTTGTAGATTTGCAATAACTAAATTTTTTGAATTGTAATTTATTTAATTGGTCAGTCATTCATGAAAAATAAATTTTGCGATTAATTATCTGCAGCAGCCATAATTATTTTATTATGGTAACTACCATTGCTGCAAATAACCAATTATGGCAGGTGTCTTTAGAATGATAGTTTCGGTTATATGAAATACAATGATATAAAATAACATATGATCATTATTATTTTTTTGCAAATTTTAAATCTTACAAAATTTAGTGATTGACAAGTGATTATATGGAGGGATTTTTTCTTATCTTTACTAATGTTGCGTTATATGACTAGGTGTGATAGTGACTATATGGGAGGTGTGACTATACAAGAGGTGACTATATGAGGGGCAACTGTATTAATATGAATTTGACCTAGCTGTGGCAGTAACCTATCTATGAAGTTTTCAGGGTCCTATAGACATGCATTATTAAAAGTTTCATTTATGCATGGCTTGGTATTATTACTACTTGGATGATGCAATTGTTTGTTATGTCAATGATGATATCAAATGCATTGAATAATAATCATGACCATCATGGATATTTGATGGATGGAGGCATTCACATGATTAAATGGCTAAGTCATGTTTGTTTTATTAAAGATATATAATTTAAAATATGCAATAAAAAAAATTGCAAGTCTGCACCACTATGTCAAGCAAGCTATCAAGCTATTATGTTTATGCATGATTTAAAATCCTTTCATGCTAATTTAGGGTCCTATCTTTCTTTGCTTATATATAGTATATTGGTTCTCTTTTTACTGGTTGAATGATGCCAAATTGGATAATGGGGCATCAGTAAATATCAGAATCTGATATTGTATTGGCATTACTGATAAGTTAATAGTATTCTTTGTACTTTTATCATATAGTCTAGTGAATATTGAAAATGCCAATCTTTATCAGATATTTTTCTAAAATTAATCCTTGATTTAATAAACCACTAACTCTTTTATATTGTAATTAAGTTATTTGTTAAATATTTCTAAAGCTCTTGTGAGGAGCTTTCTTAATTGTAATACTAAATAATATCATAATCTTGAGTAGTGGTTAGGGTTTCTATTTGAATGAGGTTTATTTGAATAACACAAATAATTTGAATAAACAAATAAAGTATGAATAAAATGAATAAAGCAAATGATTTGAATAATTCAAATAAAACAAATAAAATAAATAAGGGTGCAACATATGAACACCTGAGGGTTACAACACTAATATGGCATATGGCAGATGCCGTATGCCATATTATCACCAAGTAAGGTTACAGCCAAACCTTGTCACAGTGGATAAATGGGATACACAAGAAAATTTTATTTAAAATCCATATATATGCATGTGTGTTTAAATAATTTTTTCACTATAATAAATAAAATATTATCCAAAATTTAGTATAACAAGTTTATATAACAAAAAACTTGATCACAATATAAAAAATAAATAAACAATAATATTTACAAGTGAGAATTGATCTTCCATCACAGATTGTTTCTCACATTTTTCTTTCTCTTCATCTCTTGTCGATAATAATGATGTGATCAAAGAGGATGAACAAGAAGGTATAACATTAATATGTGGTCATGCTTATCATAAATGTTTGGAACTTTATAAAAAGGGTGTTGTCTCAAATGTAAAATCCTATATAATAATAATAGACTAGA